TTCTTGCTCTGACTGAGGGCTGAGGGGGTGGGGCTTGTTGCATGTACCCGCCCTCTGGGCTCTTTACTGCCAGAGCTCCGCTCCTGTGCGCTCCTGCAGGAAATGACCCCTGCTTGTTCCTAATTTGTGGCTGTTGACCACTGGCCACACTGGCTCTCCCACGCCTTCTCTGCCCGGAGGCCTGATAAGAAAGTCTGTTGAATGCCAGTTGGGCATATTGGCCAGTTGGTAAGACACGAAGAGCTGCAAGATGGGCTAGGGTTGGATAAATCCAATTATTTCATAGAATCATAGAATGTCAGAGTTGGAAGGGACATTGTAGGTCATCTAGTCCAACCCCCTGCACTCTGCAGGAGCACAGCTGAAAGACAGCCCTACATACCTAAAACATACCCGAAAGATGGTCATCCAGCCTCCGCTTGAAAACGGCCAGCAAAGGAGCATCTACCACCTCCCGAGGTAGACTGTTCCTCTGCTTAACCACTCTTACAGTTAGGAAGTTTCTCCTGATATTTAGCCAGTATCAACTCCCTTGTAATTTCCACCCATTAGATCTAGTCTTGCAATCCGGAGCAACAGAGAATAGATCTGCTCCATCTTCTACATGACAGCCCTTCAGATACTTGAAGACTGCAATCATGTCCCCTCTAAGGCTTCTCTTTCCCAGGCTAAACATACCCAACTCTTTCAGCCTTTCCTCATAAGACTTGGACTCCAACCCTCTCACCATCCCGGTTGCCCTCTTCTGCACACGCTCGAGCTTGTCAACATCCTTCCTAAAATGTGGTGCCCAAAACTGGACACAGGACGCCAGGTGAGGCCTGACCATAGCAGAATAGAGCGGAACTACCACCTCCCGTGATCTGGACACAATGCTTCTGTTTATGCATCCTAAGATTGCATTAGCTTTCTTCACAGCCACATCGCACTGCAGGCCCATGTTTAGCTTGTGATCAACCAGAACACCCATTCCCTTTCACATGTGCTGCTGTCAAGCCGAGTCCCTCCCATTCTATATCTGTGCCTTTGGTTTTCTGTACTTAAGTGTAGGACTTTGCACTTATCTCTATGGAAATTCAATTCATTTGTCTCAGCCCCCTGTTCCAGCCTATCTAGATCACTTTGAATCCTGACTCTGTCTTCTTCAGAACTGGCAATCCCGCCCAGCTTCGTGTCATCTGCAAATTTGATCAGCATCCCCTCTATGTCTTCCTCCAGGTCATTTATAAAAACATTAAACAACACCGGGCCTAGGAACGAGCCCTGCGGCACTCCACTCGAGACTTCCCTCCACGTAGACGCAGAGCCATTTACGAGCACTCGTTGGGTACGATTTTTCAACCAACCATGAATCTATCCAACGGTTGCACCATCCAGCCCACACTTAACCAGCTTATCCTCAAGGATAAGGCCAAAGTCCCGGAACCCGAGTCAGCGCACCGCAAGCGGCTCTGCCGCCTTGTCACAAGATGATCTCTCTTCTGCCTAAAACATGGACTCACTCACCTGCCACCACTGGCCGCCCTACTTCTGCACGGGCACTTTGAAAGTGTCAGCGAAATCGATTGGGCGTAAATAACGACGTGCCGGCGCTGAGTGACAGGGAGGTGGTGCCTGGCGGAAGGCATCAGTGTTAAACCACCGTCTGCCGGTGTCCCTGGGCCGAAAGTCAACTGCAGAGAGTGATAGAGCTGTCAGGCAAATCGTCTGCCATGAAGGGCCGCGGAGCGGTGACGGATTGAGTGCTCACCGCCTGGCTCTTTCGCTCAACACCTTTGTTCGGGCCGGCACCTCCACCAAGGGGCTGTTTCCCCTGTCAAGCCGTCTGCCGGAGGACTCTCTCTCTCTCCAGCTTGGCTCCGCCGTCGAATGTTCCTCCTACGTACCCTTCAGATGGCCGAGAAATAAGGGCTGCACCCTGTTTAGCTCTGAAATCCCCACCTTTGGGAAGCGGCAACACGCTATCATCGCTTCTGTGATTATCCAACACCCTTCCCCGAACAGACAAAAGTTAAATATTCCCCTTCCCCTAAGCAGACAAAACTTAAATATAAATTGATTATATTTATTTATCGGAAACGTTTTTATGCCACGTTGCCTCCCCGATCGGGGTCCTCACGGTGGCCCACGTGAAAACATTCGAACAATGAAAAATACCGTTTAAAACGATAAAATAGTTCAATCAAAACACAGAGGCAAACAATACCGGCGTCGTGACACTTGTTATTCCTCTGGAGGGCCAACAACAGGGCGTAGAGGCCGAGACCTTCCTCTGATGTTGCTTCCCAGCACTGGGTTTTATCAAAATTTTGGTTCTTTCTGAGCCAATAATTGTGCCTGTTTTTCCACCCAAATCCAGAAATGGAGCAGCTCCATTTTGCAAGGAAGGCTGAGAGAGCTCTTTCGAGAACTGCTCTTTCAAGAACAGCTCTGAGAGAACTGTGGCTTGCCCAAGGTCATCCAGCCAGATGCGAGTGGAGGAGTGGGGAATCAAACCCAGTTCTCCCAGATTAGAGTCCGCGCACTTAACCACTACACCGAACTGGCTCTCTCTCTCTCTCTCTCTCCCCCTCCAGAAAGACAGACAAAAGTTAAATGAGATAAATTTGGTTTGTGGATTTTTTTTGAGAATTTCACAATGCCCTTTGAGATTTATTTATTTATTTTATTTTATTTCATTTATACCCCGCCCTCCCCGCATGCGGGCTCAGGGCGGCTTACACAGGCACAACAGTGCAATAAAATATAACACATTAAAACAATTTAGGCACCCAAAGTGCGATAAAATTACAGTTAGCCACTTAAAGCACAATTCAATCTTACAGGATGCATCGGAAGTTAAAATACTCACTCATTATTATATATCACAGTGAGGTCAACAGAAAAGGGGGGGTGCCATAGGCTGAGATGTCCCAGTTAGCTAATCAGCCCACCCCTACGGCACTGCTCTGCAGTACACGATGGTGGTAATAGTGGCGGCGGCGGGTCCTACTCAAAAGCCTGGCGGAAGAGCTCCGTCTTGCAGGCCCTGCGGAACTGTAAAAGGTGACATGCCTGGAATGCCACAAACCCAGGCCTGGCGGATCACTGATTTAGTTTTATAATGCGAGGGATACAAGAAGGATGGGAAGATTATGTAGTAAGATAAAATGGCTCTAGAGAGGGTTTCTTCCCGACAAAAAGCAGTCCTACGTCGTTTAATATAGACTATACATGGCACTTCTCCGCCTCTTCAGGGGGAGCGGCAGGATGTAACAGTGTATGGTTCTAGGCGGCTTATCAAAACACTTCTCTTTTTTTCACTCGTAGGTTTAAGCGTGTGTTTTTAAAGGCTGCGTTTCCACGAAATGCGTGCTCTGTTGTATGCAAGATAGGGGGAAGGTGATAGTTAAATATTTTCCCCCCTCTGTCTTTCCTAACTATTTGGTTATATGCTGCTTGACACAATTGCTGCCAAAGCAGATTATTAAGAATCATAGAATCATAGAATGTTAGAGTTGGAAGGGACCTTGCAGGTCATCTAGTCCAACCCCCTGCACTCTGCAGGAGCAGAGCCGAAAGAGAGCCCTACATACCTACAACATACCCAAAAGATGGTCGTCCAGCCTCCGCTTGAAAACGTCCAGCGAAGGAGCATCCACCACCACCCGAGGCAGCCTGTTCCACTGCTCAACCACTCTTACAGTGAGGAAGTTTCTCCTGATATTTAGCCGGTAACGACTCCCTTGTCATTTCCACCCATTAGACCTAGTCTTGCAATCCGGAGCAAGAGAGAATAGATCTGCTCCATCTTCTACATGACAGCCTTCAGATATTTGAAGACTGCAATCCTGTCCCCTCTAAGCCTTCTCTTTCCCAGGCTAAACAGACCCAACTCTTTCAGCCTTTCCTCGTAAGACTTGGATTCCAACCCTCTCGCCATCCCGGTTGCCCTCTTCTGGACACGCTCGAGACATAGTATTTTAAAATAAATAATGTCGGCACTATAACAAATATTAAATTGGCTGTCCTAAAACCTCGGAGAACTTAGACACAGTGATGTACCAAGGGCGGGGCGGGGGATGCACTCTGCCCCAGACACAGCCTGAAGAAGGACCTTGGAGGAGGGCCCTTGAAGCCAGCATCCTGCTATGTCCAGCTGAACGCCTTTCCTTTTCCTGAGCCACAGCCCAATAAATTCCTTTGTCACTGTCAATGAAACGAGCACATGGCCATACTCTTACTTCCTGTCTGCCACGGCCTCTTCTGGATCCAGGATCAGTGTGGTATGGTGGTTAGGCGCACGAACTCTAATCTGGGAGAACCGGGTTTGATTCCCCACTCTTCCGCATGCAGCTGCTGGGGTCACCTTGGGTCAGTCACAAGTTCTCTCAGAGCTGTTCTCTCAAGGGCAGTCCTCGAGAGAGCTCTCTCAGCCCCTTCTACCTCACAGGGTGTCTGTTGTGGGGAGGGGAAGGGAAAGGAGATGGTAAGCCACTCTGGGACTCCTTCAGGTAGTGAAGGGCGGGGGATAAATCCAACCTTTTCTTCTCCTAATGCCATACACTCCACCCTTTCAAGCGGCCATTTTCTCTAGGTGAACTGATCTCTCTCGTCTGGAGATCAGTTGTAATTCCAGGAGATATCCAGGACCCACCCGGAGGTTGGCAACACCACATTCCAGGAGTTCTTCTGGCTCCAGATTAAGAGCTGTTCTTGAAAAAGAGCCGTTTCTGTCAAGAGCTCTCTCAGCCCCGCCTACCTCACAGGGTGTCTGTAGTGGGGAGGGGAAGGGAAAGGAGTGTGTAAGCTGCTCTGAGACACTGAGTGAAGGGCGGGGTATAAATCCAAACTCCTCCTCCTCCTTCTGTTGTGGGGAGGGGAAGGGGAAGGAGTTTGTAAGCTGCTCTGAGACTCCAAGTGAAGGGTGGGGTATAAATCCAATCTGTTCTTCTTCTCTTCTTCTTGCCCGTTTGATGTAGTGTTTAAGTGTGCGGACTCTAATCTGGGAGAACCGGGTTTGATTCCCCACTCCTCCTCCACATCCAATTAACTGGGTGACCTTGGGTCAGTCACAAGCTCTGGCACAGCTGTTCCTAAAAGAGCAGTTTGTGTCAGAGCTCTCTCAGCCCCACCTACCTCCCAGGGTGTCTGTTGTGGGGAGGGGAAGGGGAAGGAGTTTGTCAGCCGCTCTGAGACTCCAAGTGAAGGGCGGGGTATAAATCCAATCTCTTCTTCTTCTTCCCCTCACCAAACCCCACCTTCTCAGGCTCCTCCTCCAAAATCTCCGGGTACTTCCCGACTGAGAGCTGGGAAACCTTCTCCAGTCAGCCTTCCAGCTCTCTCCACCCCACATCCCTCATCTCCCCCCCAACCCAGCCCCCCCATACCTTGGTGGCCAGTAGCCTGGTCAGATAGATCTCTGACACCATCTTGCTCCCTCGGTCGCCTTCCTTCTGGTCTCCGTGTTCGTGGTTCTTGACCAGGTGCCACATCTTGACCCCGCTCTCCAGGTCGGGCGTGATCATGGGCGTCCGGGAGCGCAAGCTGTCCGGGCTGCCCGTGTAGCGGATCATGTTTTCTGGAAGCACAGAAACGCAATGGTTTCAGAAAGCCGTCCCCTGGGACAAAGGTGTGCAAAGTTTGGGAAGCCGCCCCGCCCCTCTGTCATGTGACCATGTTGGGTATTACAAGTTGAAAACACTCAGTATATCTGGGGTTAAATGTCTGTTTATATTACTCACAGGAAGTCACATGTTTCTCATGTAACCAATGTTCTTTAGCTGTAGAATGGCCGGGAATTTTCTCCCTGATCTAGGAATTTGATTGGGACTAAAGTGTCAAGGTGTATTACCATTTTATGGCTCTCTTCCCATCTTTGTCTGGTGTTCTGAAGAAGAAGGAGTAGCCATAATCGCTCTCTTCTAGTTTTGTCTTTGTAGTCTAAGGATGTAGCATATTTAGCTCTGTTGTTATTTTCATCCCAGTTACCCTTCCCCATGCTAGGATTTAGTAAAAACTTTATATTTTAATCACACATGGACTCTCAGTCTGAATTATTTTACTCTGGCTCTGATGGACTATTTTATCTCTGCTAAATACCAATTTTTCTATATCTCACTATCACCCAACAGACCAAAATAAGAGAAAGGAGCCGTGGTGGCTCAGAGGTTAAGACGCTGAGCTGCAGACTGGAAGATCGGTAGCTCGGCAGTTCGAGACTCGAGTGCCGTGTGACGGAGTGAGCTCCCGTCTCTGGCCCCAGCTCCTGTCAACCTAGCAGTTCAAAAGCAAGAAATTACAAGTGGATAAATAGGCAACCCTAGAGTCGGATTCGACTGGCTTTCGAGCAAGGGAACCTTTACCTTTACCTTTTTTAAATAGGTACCGCTTCAGTGGGAAGGTAACAGGATTCCGTGCACCTTGGTGTTGAGTCATGCCGGCCACATGACCACGGAAACGTCTTCGGACAGCGCTGGCTCTTCGGCTTGGAAACAGAGATGAGCACCGCAACCCTAGAATGGGATTCGACTGGCTTTCGCACAAGGGAAACCTTTACCTTTTACCTCACGTCAAAGCTGGAGAAGCTAGAAAGACGAACTGCGATGAATACGATCCGAAATGACGGTTTTGATTCAGTCGTGATGATTAGCAACAGAACTGCCATAAACAGAAGCAGTCCTACACACTGAGAGCAAACCAGCTGCCAAGCCTTGCTTGCGAATGCCTAGAAGCCTTTATTTACTTATTTAAAACATTTATCAGCCGCCTTTCTTCCTTTCGGAGCTGAAGGAGGCTTGATAAAAGACATATATAAAAGCCATAACACAGAATACATAAAAGGGCCATTTCAAAATCGCAGTTTAGGACTGCTTTTTGTTCTGTAATTGTGCGGCTGACCCTGAAAAGGCCCTGAAAAGACCCCTAGAAGAAGAAGAAGAAGAGATTGGATTTATACCCTGCCCTTCACTTGGAGTCTCAGAGCGGCTTACAACCTCCTTTCCCTTCCCCTCCCCACAACCCTTTTACCTCACGTCAAAGCTGGAGAAGCTAGAAAGACGAACTGCGATGAATTCGATCCGAAATGACTGTTTTGATTCAGTCGTGATGATTAGCAACAGAGCTGCCATAAACAGAAGCAGTCCTACATGCTGAGAGCAAACCAGCTGCCAAGCCTTGCTTGCGAATGCCTAGAAGCCTTTTATTGACTTATTTAAAAACATTTATCAGCCGCCTTTCTTCCTTTCGGAGCTGAAGGAGGCTTGATAAAAGACATATATAAAAACCATAACACAGAATACAGAAAAGGACCATTTCAAAATCACAGTTTAGGACTGCTTCTCCCAGATTAGAGTCCGTGCACTTAACCACGACACCAATCTACACCTAGATGAACTTCTTTGATTTTTGGGACAGTCAGGATTCCCCGGGGCCTATGGGAGAAGACTGTCCTTTGACTGGCTAATGTTGGAAACAGAATGCTGGACAAGGGGGACCTTTGGTCTGATTTCTGAACGGCAATGCTCAGTTTGTTGTAGTAGTTAAGAGTACGGAGCCAGGGGTCATTTCCTGCAGGAGCTCACAGGAGCGAAACTCTGGTAGTAAAGAGCCCAGGGGGCGGGCACACGCAACGAGCCCCATCCCCCTGCTCCCAGCAGCCCTCAGTCAGAGCAAGAAGCAGCCAGGTAAGCTGCAGAGCCTCCCCCTGGCCCCCTGGTCCAAAACAGTCCAGTGGCACCTTTAAGACCAAGTTTTAGTCAGGTACAAGCTCTCCCTTCTCTGTGAGGACAGATCTGCACGTTCCCCCCCACCCATAGCTACCAATCCAAAACAGTCCAGTGGAGCCTGAGCGGTGGGTGTTGCCTCCTGACACACTTCCGGTGAGGTCAGGGGGTGTGGCATATGCAAACAAGTTATGCTCATGAGCCCC